ACTGCGATGGAAAGATCAGGTGGAGAAGGACTTGGCTTCACTTGGCGTTTCCAATTGGCGTCAGTTGGCACAGAGGAGAAACGACTGGCGTGCTTTGCTGAACTCGGCCAAAATCGCTTAGGCGGTTACAGCGCCAAAAAAGAAGAAGAAGAAGAAAAATAAAAAAATAACAGAAAAGTCACACCCTTATTTTTGAAAATTTGGGTAGAAAATATGTAAAGTGGTCCTTTTTTTTGCATTCACATAATCAACATAACATATGCTTTTTTAGTGGAATTTCCTTTAATTTTTTTAGATTTTATTTTTTACAAGATCTTTTCTAGTAATGTATGTACACTCCCAATTCGCCTTCCTTTCGAAAGTCAACGACTTTCGAGCACTTGAGGGCTCATAAAAGTACAGAGCGCGATGGAGAACTAAGAACATGCCACACGTCGTTTTCAAAGTTGTATCAGCCAAAATTTTGGCGTTCGTCAGAAAACATAAGGAAGCGTTTCTAAGGCTTCGACTTTATGCCTGACAACACCGATAGCTGCTAGACTGGCACCAACAAACTTTTTCACCACTCATATCTCTTCTAGGAATGAGTGGACGGGAGGCAGTAGGTGCAAGGAGGAACAGTTGAACTTCTGTGCGGATGGTTTGAATGCCGATAGCTTTCCTTTAAGCTCACATTTAGACTTCCAGATCACTATAGTGTTTTCCAAGTCGAGATGGCTGTCAGTTGATCATCTACTCTGATCGCAAAGAGTTCAAACCAAGACGAGTTTTCAAATGTCTCAGATTTTTTTCCGTTCAAACTTATATGGGAGTGGGAGTACCTGGTGCATTTATTAACCGGACATTGTCCGATGGGTATTTAGGCGGCGATCTTAAATATCATACTGGTTCCTCACGGTCGCGGCTGTTTAAAGGCCGATGAGCTGGAATAATTTCAATACCTTTTTAAGCTGTCCAGCCTTTCTTAGGTTACACCTTGAATTTTTCTTTCTAACCAGCCCTGAAGAGCTCTTCGGAACTGACATCTGCCGCCTAGGAAATTCCGCTCAACGCACACAGCGTTCCCCGCTTTAGTCTAGCAGTTAACGTTGGTAGTGTCATCGTCGAACTGTGAACAGTTAGATTAGGTTAATGCGACATTGTGATACCGCTGTGAAACACCGATATCTTAGTAACGATATTGCATGGATTGGATTGGTTTTATTCATACACCGGATATTTCCGTAAGAGAGCTAAAGAAGTGTTTACCTAAAACTTCGGCTCAGCTTTTAGTTAAAGCTGGGCAACTGCGAAATAAGTGTTCAACTGTTTCTCTCTCTTCCTCATCTCTGCAACTTATACAAAATTCATATGGGAGAATATTCCTGGTCTAGAAGATTGCCTAATAAATAGCCAATGACTGATTACACAGGCCATAGCCTTCGAAATGTCCTCTCTTCACCGGTGGAACAGTCAAAGCTCCCCAACACACGAGTGAAAGTTTGAGACCTAACCAAACATCCTAACATTCTTCCCTCCATATAAGAACTGTCAATTTTAGCATTCTTAAGTTGTATTTTTTATTCTTCCCTTTTCATTAATATAACAAATGAGTATTAATACTTTTTACGATCACATCTGGAAAGTCCCATTCACTCTCAGCGGCATAAATGTCACCATCAAACGTCACGACAGCTTAACTCGCATTCCTTTTTAGTATCGAAACGATTATCATTCCCGCCACACCCGCCGTAGATGAATTCCTCACATTTGCGCGCAATCGGATTGTAGGCAAAGCTGGGCACATAGCCAAAACAACGGCCGCTCTGAGGTGATTGCAAGCAAACTTTTACTACAAAACAAATAAAAGTGAATAAATAAAAATAAAAGTAAAAAAGTTTAAGTATGCAAATAAGTAGGTATGTAAGTATGTAAGTATGCAAATGAGGAAGAAGGAAAAAAAAAGAAGCTATGAATCAAATCTTATTTACAAATATTTGTAATCAAACAAACCTCTTCGATTGAGGGCATCAGCACAGAGCAGAGAGCAAAGCAACAACACAAAAACAATGCTGACTTCGCGTGAAAACTGCATTTAAACAATATTTGTGTAATAAAAAAAAAAAACAATATTTGCTTATTATTTTGGCTTTTAATTGATGAAAAATATTAGCACACTTCAAAACACTCAAAACTTATAGCCCACCTTCGGCCAGCTGACTAACGCTACTGGCTCTCAAGACTGTCTCGCAGCACCTTTGCGCCGCTGCTGGCTGTGTGGGCAAGGAGAATTCGGTTATTCTAAGTTATAGCGACTCATCAGCATAACAGGTGTACGAGCACTNACTGGCTCTCAAGACTGTCTCGCAGCACCTTTGCGCCGCTGCTGGCTGTGCGGGCAAGGAGAATTCGGTTATTCTAAGTTATAGCGACTCATCGGCATAACAGGTGTACGAGCACTCGATTTGTTGGCAGCATTGGAGTGCGCGGTGACGGCCTTCGCGCAAACGCAGACGCAATCGATGACGTAAAATGATTGTTGTGAAGAAGCAGAGGTGGTAGCAAAATACTCGTAAAACAACATAAAAATCAACAAACACAAGGTGGCAATAAAGACAAAGGCATAATCAAAAAACAAAAAAAAAAGTTTGCAAAAAACTTAAAACATTTGCTTTTGTGAACAAAGTTGCCAACGAAAAGTAAATTTTGTATAAAACTCTCTGCAATGCGTAAAAAAATCAACTACTTTTAAGTAGCTGGGACTTATGAATGATTTTTTTTTGCTAACTTTACATAGTAGTCAGTTATTTTCTCCCATACGAAGTATGTTTGGCGATTTTTTTATATGGAGAAAATGAGCAACACCTTCAACAAAAAAAAAAATAATTAAAAAATTACGGGTAAGTCACTTTGTTATACTAAAATAGAATGGGTTACAAAACTGCATAATCAAAATATTTCTAAAAAAATCGAATTAAAAAGTTCCAAAGCTTGTTGATTTTTTTCAAATATTGCACAAAAATTTAGACTTCGTTGTATACGGTTTTTTTTGGAAGAATAAACTATAGTTTTTTAAATCATAATTAAAATTAAAAAATAATAAAATAAATAGTCACAACTTGTCAATATGTGAGTGTTGAATTTTGGATTTTTTGTTGTTGTCGGTGTTGCGTATTTCCATACGAAGTATGTAAGTATGTTCGACATTTTTTTTTATATGGAGAAAATGGGCAACATCTTCAAAAATAAAATAATAATTGCAAAAAAACCAACGGCTAGCTGTGGCCACTTTATATTTGCATTCTAATTGATATCTAATGAAAAGGTTTGAAATTTCGATGAAGCTCTGTAGAATTTTCCTAATTTTTTTACTGGTATTAAATCTCTGACCTACATTGTTTTTTTTTTATAAAAAATAATGAGCGAGCATCAAATAAACGAAAGCCAAAACTTGTTAAAATATTGCGTCCCTATTTATATTTTCACCACTGTATGTGAGTATTCTTTGTTTACTACGACTAATTGTTTCAATGATATTCACTTTTGGAAGACCAAATTTTCAAGACATATCCGCAGCTTTAATTAACGTCAGTCACAGTTAAACCTGCCATATGTCACTGAATTTGCAATCCCTTGAATTGCCGGACAGTGATGGCCCATTGGGCTTCAGCGGTAATATCGAGAAAGCAAATATAGTGATTTCTCCGGAGAGTGTTCTATCTCTATTTATGGGAGCGCTTGTGATAAAAAAAAAAGTTAAAGATAAAGATAAGAGGTAATGATCCAACCTGAAATATCTCTGATAGATGTCTAAACTTCATGAGTGAAATATTTGAGAGGATATTTACATCTGAACAGGCGTAGTGGTTTTTTCATGGAAGATCGTGCCAAAGATCCAGAGAGTATTATGGACTGTAAACTGAAGTTGAGGTTGAATGGGACAGAGAGGGTTAAGAAGACCCTAATGCATTAAGAGCGAAACACACCACACAAGCGGCTTAGCGGTATTATCAAGAATCAACATGGAAGCCAGAAAAAAAATTGATTTTTGTTTAAATTTTTCTCAAGCGGCTTGACAAACCTTCACACACAGCCATACAAAACACAAATGGCTTGAAGCAAGGGGATATTTCGTTTGGTTTGTCAAGCCGCTTGTGTGGTGTATTTCGCTCTTTATGCGGTTGTAGAAGAATGCTTATTAAGACATGGGGTCTGTCCCCTCTACTCGTACCTTCGGATGTAAAATAAGTAAACAAGAGTAGCTGCTGCTGTATTTAGTTCGGAAATTTATCTTGAACGGCCATGAATCGTCCAATGCTAGTCAAGCCAGATGAGTTGCCATCAGCGAGTTAGACTCGCTTTGTGTGCGACAATTCAGGAACACGATGGGCGAACATTTGCTCTTTTTCCTCTACCTCTTCTACTAAGATAAGCTTCGCTATAAAAACAGGCTTCTTTCTAGATTGCGACGTGCAGAAAAAACTTAATATTGCCGAATGATGTTTTTAGATTAGTACAAATAGCAGCGTATTATTCTATATTGAGAGTGGCAACTCTGTTTGAGTGAAACAACTTTGAAACCTTTTATTTTAACATACATACATACATATATTGCACAGCATATGCCGCTTTTTTCTTGGTTTATACCTGCAAAGCTTACTTGGTATGAGCAATAGCTTAGAAATTTGCATAAGCGCCACTCACAGAGCTTGAAATCCACAAAACAGCTGTGTGATCAACACTAGATGTCTACTAATTTTCAATTTGTTGACTATAAGCTAGCTAATAAGTCATAAAATGGGTGGAAAAAAGTAGTGAACAACATTGGCTACACTTACTTGCACAAATATACATACATATATGCATGTACATTAGGTCGGGTCGAAAAACACAAAATGTTTGATACGAAAATTGTATACATAGGTCTTAATAGGTGCTAGTTTAATCCATTACGCTTTAAAAGAAATCCAGGTTCTCTGCGACAATATCTTCAGTCTGAGGAATGAGCTTGAAAAATTGAAAATAAGAGAGGGAATACCACGTTTTAAAATTTTTACAACGACTTGTTTAGAACAAATCCGGCACTTAGTTTCTATCATAAAATCCTAAAAAATATTAATATTTTAATAAATTAAAATATACATAAGAAATAAATACTAATTGATTAAAGTATTAATGTTACTTACTTTTAATTTACCAAATTTAATTTTTTATGATTTTATGTTGGGAAATAAATTCCCGGATTTGATCCACACAACATTTTGTGTTTTTCGAACCGCCCTAATGTACATACCCAGTACGGAAGGAAACTAGCTTAAATATCGATGTTCAATCAGTTTTTTAACCACCACAACTAGTTGAATAACTGACTTTCTTCCTTGGAACGAACTGTTGACTTTAAAATGGCGATGGCCCAGGCATCAGTCAATTATCCGACTCTGTATTTGATTTTAATTACTTTAAAATGCATTTGGCTTTAAGCACTTCAAAGGCAGTATGTTTTAATTGCCCAAAGTTATGTGATTTTTCAACTTATATTGAATTATTTGCACCAGTGGGAAATTAGTTGCTACATAAGTAGAAATAAATTAATTTTTCTGAGGTAATTGGATGAGCTATGCCGTACTGGGTATGTACCTACTAATTTATGTATGCACATATGCATGTGTGTATGTACGTTTCAATGTATTTTTCCAAACTCATTATTTCATTCATTTTCGGGCAAATCTCGCATCGCGAGATTGGCGTTATCAGCCGACTTTGCTATGTATTGGAGGTAACACGTGAAACGTATTAATTTTTTACATACATATTTATAATAATTGGCATTGATAGTTTGAACTTTAATTTAATTTGTTGCTGTTATTTGGGTTAACTACAATCGCTTGCAGTTCAATTACTGCGTATTTTCAAAAATATAACGAGTTTTGATTTCGAGCACTTTTTTGAATATAAATGTGGACTTTAAAAGCAGAGCGCAAACAGAGTATACATTTTTGTGGGTATAATCATTTGGAAACGGCATCTTATCAGGGCGTTTTTTCAAAAAAGTCAACAAATAATCGTTATATTTTCAACAAAAATTAAGAGTTCAAATTTGACATTTATTTGTTCACTCAAAAAAAAATTTTATATTTTATAATAAAAATAAAATAATAAAATTTTTTTTTGATCAAAAATACCAGCTGTCGTTTTGTCTCTAATTTTATCAATTAAACAGCAGTTAAAATTTTTCTTATATTTTTTTACAAAACTGTTATTTAAGTTTTCAAAAGAAAACAGCTCGTAATTTAGATAAAAAAGAAACAAAGTAAACACCCCACTGTCTTTGATTAACTAAAAAATTTTGGAATGCATAAATTTTGTATGTTCTGTAAACAATCAAATGATTGAAAACGTAATATGCAGTGATAAGCAAAGTAAAGACAGAGAAGGGATTCATCAATAAATAGAATCCACACTTTTGTAATGCTAATGCACATTTTCCTAAGTGTGCTTTTACACAGTTCAAGTATTGAATTCAATTCTGCTCGGACATGGAAGAGTGGGGGTGAGAAGAAAAGGGACGAGTACACATGCGTCTGTACCGTCAAGTCGTTTCAACTTTCTTGCTTTGCTTTTGGCATTTTCGTTGCTTCCCATTTAAAGAACTAAAGACTTGAATTCAAACGTGTAAAAGCAAATAAAAAACACAACAGAGAATGAGCAAGAATTGCTTTCAAGTACTTGAATCATGTAAATCAGGTGTAAGGGTTTTGCACAGGGGAAAAAATTACTATCGATCTTTATATAGCCTTTTCCATCGGTTATATGCTTATCACTGCCCAAGCGACTTGTTTATATGTAGCAAAAACACGTTTTTAACTTAAATGTTTACAAGCAGATGAAATATCGATACAATTTTAAATTTAATTGTTTTTGTTATTTTATGGCCTTATAACAATTATATTCAAAAAAAAAAAATTTATTGAGCTTGAGGCCGTTTTTTTAATGAAAAGTTATTGCAACAACAATTTGAAAAAATGGTAAAAGTGATAGCTATTTCGGAAATCACCACATTTCCTCATCAGACTTCTTTTTAGTAGGATTCGAATCGACGATCCCACTGACTCAGCCAGTTGCCTACGCACTGTGCTAAGTTCGCCTTGTCAATTCTTGTTGCTTATTACCACTATTTTACTTTTTAAGCCAACTATTCCGCTGCAATTCACTTGATCTTGTGGTTGTTGGTTTTTCAAATTGTTGTTGCTTTTCCACAATAAGTTTTCATAAAA